GATTACCTCGTCAAAGATTAATTAAATTAGGGAGGGGCATATCTGGGTGAGACAGAGCCAGAAATACAAAGTTCTCTGAACGCGAAGGTGCAAGGCATTTCAGATATTTTGCTGGCAGCCTGGCTTGCTCTCGCCCACTCCCCGAACGCCCCAGCTCCCAATCTCCAAATAAGAAAAGTGACTCCATGAACTCCTGGATGGCTCATTCTTAGAACATCAGCAATACTTTTTTCAGGGTCCAAAACAAATCTGAGACACTGAAACCCAGAACTCTTAAAACCGTATGAAAAAGCCCTTCAGAGTCACTGGAAAAGCTCCCCAAGGGAAAATGCAACTTCTAATGATATCACCCCCCCATCAAAGTCGCTGTGTGAGGTCTCATGCTGGAGTGTCCTGTTCAGCTGTATCATTTATGTCACCGTTGGACGTCAATAAGCTATTCCCCAGCATAAGGACAGGGTAAACAAAATAAGGAAATATTAAAGGGAATAATCCTTCCAGGGTCCCTGCAGAGCCAGAAAAGAAACCCCACATCTACCCCTGGGCTTGTGCTCCTAGGAAGATCTACCCATTAGGAGGCAGGTGGGGTAGGGACATCATGGGACACCACATTCAGAGGATTCATCTAGTCCTGCACGAACTTGGGCAAGTCACTCAATTACCCTGACCCGCACCCTCCTCACCTGTGACACATAGAGATCACCACTTACTTTGCAAATTGTGAGGGCCATAGATGCTTTATGTACAAATATCCAAATCATGTCATCATCCCTAAAAATAACGCAGCACCTCCTGCCAGGTTTCCCCTTTAAAATGTCACTGGATCTTGAAGTTGGAAGGCACTATGCATTGAGTTGTCCCCCTAAAAAGATACGTCAAAGTCCTAACCTCCGGAATCTGTGAATGTGACATTTGGAAATAGGGTCTTCGCAGATGTAATTAGTTAAATTAAGACAAAGTCATAGGGGAGTAGGGTACACCCTAAATCCAATTTGACTGGTAACCCTATAAGAAGAAACAGAGAGACACATACACAGAAGGAAGGTAGTGTGAAGCCACAAACACAAGGTCACGTGGGAGAAGAAGGTCATGTGACCACAGGGGCCGAGATGGGAGTGATGTAGCTACAAGCCAAGGAGCACCAAGGATGGTTGGCAACTACCGGAGGCTGACAGAGAGACATGAACAGATACTCCATCAGAGCCCTCAAGAAGGACCCAATCCTGACCACACCTTGGATTTGGATCTCTGGTCCCCACAACTGTGAGAGAATACATTTCTGTTGTTTTAAGCCACCCAGTTTGTGGTATTTTGTTAGAGCAGCCCTAGGAAACTAATACAGGAAGTCTTCTAATTTTACTATCTAATGCTTGAATTCTCTTGCCCAAAGGTCAGCTAGCCAGCTTATGTATGACTGTCTCTAGTATAAAAAAAAAAAAACACCATAAAAACACAAAACAAACAAAAAAAACCAAACTTAATATTTACCAAGGAAGCAATCCCTCCCACCTATGAAAAGATCTGTTATAAATACCATTCATTCAACAAACATTTATTGAGCACCTGCTATATGCCAGGCCTTGTTTGGGGATACCGTTGATACAGTGGTAAATGGGGAGCAGACAATAAAAGGATTTTCAAATAAGGCCCTTTTTATATCGTTATGAAGATAATCAAACAATGTAGCAGAATAGAATGAGTGGGTTGGGGACTACAAAGAAATTATTTTGATTGTTGGGGAAGGTCCCACTAAGGATGTGATATTGGAGAAGTGACCTGAATGACTGACAGGGAGCCAGCCATGGGAAAAATCTGGAAGGAGGAACAGCCCATGCAAAGGCCCTGAGGCAGAGCAAGCTAGACATGCTCAAAGCACAGAAAGGTGGGACTTCTGTGCGTGAGAGAATGGTAATTAATGAAGCTGGAGAAACAAGCAAGGTCAGTCAGGACTCATAGCCACCCCAGAAGACCAAGGTAAGAAGTTTCAGTTTGATCCCATGAGCACTGGGAAGCCATGGGGGAGAGACATGATTTGACTCAGTTTTTAAAAGATCACTCTGGCATGGTAAGGTTCTTAAAACTGAAGTCTTTCTCCCTATAATGTTTGTCCTTTAGTTCATAGGATCTTAAGCCTCTACAGAACAAGTTCAATAAATGACAGCCCCGAACCTTCTATAATCCTGGCTCCCACGATCCTCCTGACTTATCAGCTCTAAAGCATTCACCATTGTACCAATTTCCAATAAATATGCTTGACTTTATTTTTTCTATGTCCTTCATTAAATGGCATGTCCCGAAAAGAACACAATATTCTAAGCATGGAGCAGACTGGAATTATCCCCTTTCTCAGCCCAGATCTATATTTCTATCGATGTGCTTCAAAATTGTCTTGGCTTTTAATTCTCTTCTGTACCACTGACCTGCCAAAACATATTTCTGACAAATTTCTGTGGAAGTCCTTTTTTTGATGCTCAGATCTCGAAAAAAAAGGTCATTATCCCTAATGAGAACAGCTGTGCCATGTTTTTGGTTTTTTTTAAAAAAAGTGTCACCATTACCCAATCAATGCCACGTATAAAAAAAATGGATAAAATAAACAAAACTACTGGGTCAGCTCCTGAGGTTTCATAACCACTGCATTTCTCTTCCAGATGGAGGACAAGGAAAACTATTATGTCAAGTTTCCCTACAATTGCTTTGCTTTCTTGCATCACATAGCTGAAGACACCTCTTTGGAAAGAGCACCTTAAGCAAAAGACACTCCCTGAAATCATACTTCCTACTAGATTTCTCAAAGACCTAGAAACAAATCTGAGTAGACATAGACTATCTCAAGCTTGAAGCAGGGAGAAGCAGTGAAGGCGCATCTACACCAGCAAGCTAAGCTGACTTAGTAAGCAGGACAAGTGGTGGGAGAGAAGGATGTTCTCCAATGGACGCAGGGAAAGCTGTGGGGCCTCGCGGATGTGCGTATCCTCTACCCAGATCCTTTCCACATCCCTTTCCACATCTGCTGTCAGATAGCTAGGTTTAACACTTTGCTTTGACCCCTAGTACTGTTTCCTCATCTGTGACACTCATCTGTGACACTTGAATGAGAACACCACCTATCACTCCAAGTTTATTGTGAAGATCAACTAAGATTTGGGGTGTGAAAGTCCTTTGTACTGTCACATAAAAGTGAGGGGTTATTATTGGCAGTAGGATTTTTACTCATCTTTTTGCAGCTCTTTCCGGCTGCCAGTTGACTTTTCACGAGTTTAAAAAAAAAATCTTCCAAGGCTGCTTTTGATGTTTCTTTTAAACTGATTATTTTCTTTTTGGAGGGAGGAAAGCAGGAAAGGAGGAGGAAGAGAGGAAGGGAGGGAAGAAGGGAGGAGGGGGGAGAGGCATGTAGCATTAATTCACCCCATCCTAAACCTTTCCTAAAGATGGTCCTAAAAGAAGTCCCTTCAGAGCCATTTGGTGTGACTATAAAACAAGTTACCTCTGAAGAACCAAAGCTATAGCCATGAAAAGAGAAGTCTAATAGTTATGGATATATTCTCCACTTCCTGGAACTCGGTAGCAAGTTTATAAGGTTGGTGATTTACTCACGTCACTGAGTAGCTTTTCATTGTCTTTAGTTGCTACATTCTCAAATAATACAAACTATCTTTATAGTAACTGACACATGCCACACAAAAGACAAACACTGCAAAACACATGGGAATGCATTCCAGAACCAAATGGGAGGCTAGAAATAATCTGCCCATCACTAAGAGTGCCTGTGTGTGCGTCCTCAGCCATCTTCATTTCTTTAATAGGAAAAGAAAACCTCATGAGCCAACTTTTTCTTTGTGAGCCAATCTCAGTAGCCTGTCGCTTTGCACTTCAAATATATAAGCAGTCCAATTTCTGAACAAAGTGGAAATAAAAATGAGTGACAGCTGAAGGGAAAGATTCTGAACAACCGGAGAACATGCCCACTTCCAAACAGACATGAAAAGCCGGGCAGGAGCGCTCACGCTTAATACTATCTAAACCTCTTTTTTTCTCTGCTTAATTCAGTGTTAAGCATTTTGGCTGCCCTGGCTGAGGTTTAGGGCTCGGATGCCGCTAATGAAATGAATCTGAAACGTTAGCATTAGGTGACAATGGCCTGGATGGCAGCCTGGCGAAGGCAGCCTGGTCCCTGACAGCTGTCAGCTTGCCTCCAACACTGACTCACCACAACAGCAGCCTCCACGTCAGGACGCCTCACCGGTACCAGCTCAGAGGCAAGTTCCTGCTCCTTCTGCAGGTTGGCACCCTTGCCTGACACTTTTGAGGAGCTGGCCAGTGCCCACTGCAAAGTCTTTTTCCTCTTCCAGATTTCCTTCTCCCAGATCCAATTAACGTGCCATCTAGGGAAGCACAAACCTAGTACCAGGAAGGAAATGTTCCCAGCTCCAGGACCACATCCTGTCCCCTCAAAGACCCGGGACATTGGCTTAGTCCACTCCGAACCTGCGGTCCTGCACTTAGCTTCTAACACTGCGTGTCGACGGCTGCGCGCTCTGCAAACCTCTTCTTTGCTTACCAGCACATTGGGGGGAGTGGGGGAGCCCCGGGAAGGCACGGGCAGAACTGATGCGGCAGGCACCCCGTCCATAGCCTCTTCTCCCTTGCCCGCACTCTTCGCCAGTCTGCCACCCCAGCAGCACACATGCAGCAGATTTAAAAGCGAACACACGCGCACAACTTGGCAACTGTATTTCTCCTCGCCGTCCCAGGCACCCCCTCCCCGGCATGCTCTTCCAGGGGGCTGGGGGCTCTTCTTTCCCCCAAGACTGAAGAACCGGCTCCATATCAAAGCCACTTGGCAACACCATCTGCCACCGGGGTGGCGACACCTTGTCCAGTCCCCTACACCGTGGGCTCCCCTTCCCATGTCCTCACTCCCCGGCAAACGCGGACCCTGCCGAAACCCCCGAGGCCCCCGACTCCGCGTCATGTCACGGCCCTCTCCCGAGCCCTACCTCCCCTCACCCGCTGGTCCCCGGAGAAGCCCGGGCTGTCGCCTCCAGCGCTCCAGCTGTCGCCTCTCGGAGAGCCCTCGCGCTGCCCGGAGACCCGGGAACCTGCCTTTCCCCCTCGGGCGCCGGCGGGGCCCCTCTCACCGCGATGGGCGCCGACCGGTTGGCGGACCGAGGAGCGAGCGGGCACCGGGTAGGGTCCGCGGTGAGGCCACAGAGCTGGCGGGAGAGCCGGGTGCTTCTGAGGCGCCGGCTCGCGCGAGCTGTCAGTCAGCGGGCCGCGCCCGCCCCCCTAGTGGCGTCTGCGCAAGCGCGAGGGCAGCCCCGGAGCGGCGTCACGTGACGCGGCGGTACTCCAGCTGGTTCCCAGCGCTCGAGAGGGAGGGTCTTGACTCTGTTAAGAGTCGCTTTGGGCCGGGGCCGTCCCTCGGCGAGAGGCCTGGTCCCCTGCCCCCGGGGTCACGCTCGGAGACCTCCCGTGGGTCGCCTTTATGGAAGGTTTTGGGAACCCCATTTCCTGGATCTGCTCAAAGCGGGCGTTCTCCGGGGTCAGAAAGAGTTGGGTGGGGCAAGCCGTCCTGCCAGCAGATGAGTAGGGGCTTTGGTGATTTTAGTTGTGGTGCGGGGGGAGCTCCAGCAGGGAGCCGGGAAATATGGCTTGTTTTTGGTTGCTTCCCCTCCCTGAGTGTGCCCACCTTTAAAACAGGGGTGCTTTGCCATTTCCTGCCCTCATTAACAAACATACTTTTTTTTCTTTTCTTTTTTTTAAGTAGGAGAACTGGGTGTTCTCCAGGACCCATCAGCTCCAAGTCAAGTAGTTGTTTCAATCTAGCTGTGAAGGGCACAGCTCAGTGGCCCATGTGGGGATCGAACCAGCAACCTTGGTGTTATGAGCACTGCGCTCTAACCAACTGAACTAACCCGCTGCCCCTAATGAGCATACTTTTAAAATAAGTCAGGCAAGGGATGCATGGTATGGAAAGGCATTCTGAGGCTGATTTAGTTTTTGAAAAGGGCATCTTAAAGGCTGATCAGATTCCACCTCAATTGCTCCAAAAGTTCTGGGCCAGGCTGCACCTTTTACAGCAAATACAATAACTTTCAAGCCATCCTGTTCCTTCCGCATATCTTCAATTTTTTTAAAAAAATAAAAAATAGAAGTGTTAAACTGAGAAACTGAGCACCCCCCCCCCCCCCCCCCGCAATAAGTTTGGAGTTATGTCAAGCTTGGTTCCAGACCTAGCAAAATAAAGAGTTTGATTCTGGAGTGTGGGCTCTGATACCTCAAATTCTAAAGACATTTCCACAACTACACTGCTGACTATCATGCTCCTCTGGTGGAACTTGGAGTTCTGCCACTTAGGAGAAAAGATGAATTATGGATTGATGATGAAGTATCTTTCCTGTGCCCCAGGCATGGAGCTGTTGGTTCCTGGGAAGAAGATCTATTGAATTTCGGACTTGCTGGGGGAAGTTGAAGGGAACTACAAGAAGAAAAAAAGCTGGGAGCTGCAGTTCCACAAGTTATGGGGCCTTCAGCGCCATAGCTGCTTCTGGTCCATCCCAGATTGGCTTGACAAGCTTGGTATGGCTGTCATGTGTGAGAAACTGGATCTCTGGATGTTTCAAGCTTGATGTGAACTCAGGAAGGAAAGGCGTGTAGGGCCGCCTTCATTTCATCATGCAGACACTACAGATAGGTGGGCATGCTATTGGTGTCTGTAAGGTTCTGCCCTGTGTCCAGCGGAATATGAGCCCGTCTTGCATACTTTATAAAAACAGAAGATTGTATCTGCAGCTGGAGAAAGTCCTCCTCTGATTCAGTGAGTGAACCTAGCACAAGGCACCACCTCATGTAGCCCTGACCTGACTCTGACAATAGCAACTCTTGAGGGAAATTGAAAAGTGTGAGCTTATTCAGGGTCAGATTCCATTTGAGGGAAATACCATTTCTCAAAAAGATTCATATAGACCTTCTCTCTCCCTGTCTAGCCAGAAGGTTGGAGGGAGGCAGATGGCATTGCCATTTAGAAAAAGGGGAAGAAAGTAAGTTCTGCAAACCACAGACCAGTGAACTTGACATGAGGCCTGGGAAATATTCAGAACAGATTACTCACAAAAAATATTTGTACCCCTCAGAAGAGGAAGCCCCGATGAAAAGACCAAGTCATGCGAAGTTAACCTTTTTTCTGTTGTGAAATGTATAAGTTGGTCAATCAAGGAAATACAGAAGTCGTGTATCTGGACATGGAAGGTGTATTTACCAGGATTCTTTCCATTGTAAGTGATAGAACTCAATTCATACTGGTTTTTTGAAGAGAGGGACTATATCGGCGCCCATAAAAGTTCTGGGGTTGGCCCAGCAGGGTCTAGGGGCTCCAATGATGTTATCAGAACATAGTTTCTTTCCCCTATCTGACTGCTTCACTCTGAGCTGGCTTCATTCTTAGATTAGGTTCTTTTTATAGTGGTCTATGGCAGCAACAGGCTTATATTCTCTCAACTTAGCAGCCTCAGTGGAAAAAAAGGGTTCTGTCCTTCAATATTTCCAGCAAAAGTCCCAGGATTTGGTCTGAGTGGACCAACATCGTTCATGTGCTCATCCCCTTGAACTAATCTCCGAGGCCAGGTTGTTGGGATAAGTGGATTGGCCACATCTGGACAGAAGTGAGGATCAGCCTCCCTCAGCTGCTTGGGTAGAGAGCAAGGGAAAGGTGCGCCCCCACAGGAAACCGGGTGCTCTTGTGTGGAAAAGGGGACAGATTCTGAGCAGGCAAGGGAAAGCAACAGCTATCCAGGACAAAGCATTTGCTAAGATATTTCATGATATTATATGAAGGACAGGAATGAAAGGAGGGAGAAATAGTAAATTGATTGGATGACTGAATTAATATGCAAAAACACTTTGATTAGAGAATGAGTCCAAAAAACAATTATACAAGATAAAGCTGGTGGTGTGATTTAGCAGCAGTTCTGCCCCCCACCCCCACCATGCTTAATGTCCCCCTCCCCCTTTGTAACATATTGCCACAAACTTAATGGCTTCAAACAACACCACTTCATTATCTTACAGTTCTGGAGGCCATGTCCTAAAATCGAGGGATCAGCAGGGCTGGTTCCTTCTGGAGGCCCTGGGGGAGAATCATTTCCTAGCCTTTTTCCGGCTTCTAGAGGCCTCTCGCTTTCCTTGGCTCAAGGCCCCTCCCTTCTTCCTCCATCTTCAAATAGTTCCTTTAATCTGGAATAGTTCCAGCTTTTCTTTGTCCTTCATGACACGAATATGTACTAAGAGTACAGGACAGTTGATTCGCAGAATGTCTCTGTTTAGATTTTTCTGATTGCTCCCTTACAGAGTCAGGTAACACGTTTTTTGGCAGCAGTGCTGTAAAATTGATGTGTGTCTTCAGTGCACTGTATCAGGAGGCGCAAACATCATTTTGTCTCATTACTGCTGATACTATATTTGACCAATGGTTGAGTTGGTGATATATTTCTCTATTATAAAGGGATCTTTTTTCCCTTTGTAAGTAATTAGTAATCTGTGGGGAAGATACATTGAGACTATTTACATAGCCTGTTTTCCAATGAACTTTCGCCCAATGGTTGAGCGGTCTGTTAATAATAACACTATGCTTCTTGCAAAATGTTCTGTGTTCTAATTCAATTGCTCCATTGACGTTTACTACTTGACATTTCCTTGCATCTATTCTTGCCCTTGTCCAATGTGTTCACCACGAAATAGCTGGAATGACCTTTAAAAACCACACATGTGATCTAATCCTCCAGCGGCTTCCCACTGCCCCTCCAATTCTGCTGGAATCCCTTGTCTGCTTGTTAGGGCTTGCATGACCCAGCCCCTTCCAAGCTCTCCAGACTGGGCTCGAGCCACTTCCACCTTGCCCTACAGACACAGGCCCTTACAGAATTCAAACAACGCATGCTGCTTTCCACTGAAGGGCCTCTCCACCTACCCCTTTGCCTGGAATCCTCTTCCTCCAGCTCCTGCATCCTTTGCTTATCAAATACCCACGTGTCCTTCACATATCACATTCTACAGGAAGCTTTTCACATGACTCCCGGACTAGAGCAGATTCCTGGGTCTGCCCTCTCACCACACAACATCCTTTTCTTTTTTAAAAAAATATTTTTATTGGGGAATGGGAACAGTGCTGGGGAATTGGGGGAAGGGGAACAGACAAGTTGTTGTCGTTTTTTTTGTTCTTCAGTCTAGTTGTGGAGGACGTTGCTTCACTGGCCCAAGTTGGCACCATCATTGCGCTCTTCCCGGGCGAGGCAGATCAGTTGCAGGCTTCTGGACTGCCGCTCACAGCTTGAGGGCCACTCACGCTGGCTGCTAGCTACACACGGTAGCCCATGGCAACCCACTGCAGCAGGGGCTGCAGCCCATGCCTTCGGTGACTCACGGCAGCCCAGTTCCAGGTTGAGCTGTTGTTCAGCATCTTAGCTATAGAGGGCAGTGTCACTGGAGGGCAGTGTCACTAGCCCTCATATGTGGGATCCGAACCAGGGCCCTCTGGCGTCCCAAGCCAGCTCTTAACCAACTGAGCCACTCGGCCGGCCCTGTCCTTTTTTTTTATAGGAACATACCAGTTTGCAATTTTGCACTTATTTATTTAATTAGTCTCTGAGCTAATTAACGTAAGAGGAACTTTGATTTGGCTCACTCATATGTGTCTGCCAGACCTAGCATGGTACTAAGCACAGGGTAAATCATTAAGTACTTATTGAATGAATCAATATGAGACCAAGACAAGGATGCGGGGAGGGAGGGAGATGACAAGAAAAGAACTTTGAGTTATTGGAACCAGAGCACAAGTGGGCAGGGACTTGCTTCCAGGAGATTTGCTGGATCAAGTCCTGGCAGCAGGAAGAGGGGAATCATGTCACAGGCCAGCCCTTGGAGCTTGGTACAGAGCTGCACTGGCTAGAGCAGGGCCTCCAGCCCCTTAGGGAGCGAGTATGGAACAGTATAAAGAGCAGGGTCTTCATAGACGAAAGGAGATCTGCAGGGTAGCTGTGCTTCTCTGCTTCCTTTGGGCAATCACTTAATTCTGAGCCTCGGTTTCCTCAGCTGTATGGAGGGATCCTACAACTTCACAAGGATGTGAGGATGAAGTGAATCTGTGAGGAGATATGACAGCAGCAAAGAGCAAGACACTGGGGTCTGAATCCTGGCTCTCCACTCCTAATGATCTTGAGCACACTTCTTACTTAACCTCACTGGGCTTGTTTCTTCATCTGTGAAATGGGCCAACCACAGCGTGTTCATTCACTCAGTGCATTACTGAGTGCCAAGTTTTTGACAGGCGCTGGGAAGACAATAGTGCCGAAGACCAGCAACACTCTTTCATGAGGCTCGCACTGCAGTGAGGGATAAGCAACGGGATAGAGGAAGTAAGCTGAGATGCGACAAAGAGCAAAGCTGGGAGGGGGAAGTGAAATGTTGCAGGAATGGGAGGGAGGGAGAAATTTTAGATGGGGTTCCAGGGAGAAAGATGCCCTCCAAATCAAGTCCCAAAGGGCATTAGAGAATGAGCTTGGGCTATCCAGGGGACACAGAGCGCCAAGCCCAGAGCCTGACACTCAGTAAGTGCTCCACACATGTCCACTAGCCATACACCCTCCCACCAGCAGGCGCTACCTATAGTTGGAGGCACAGCAGCCCACTGAAAATGAATTCAGAAACACACCATGCCACTTCAGGTTCTTTAGGCTTCCTGGGCCTGGTCCAACACCATGGGTTGTGGAGCTTCACCCTCTGGCTTCTGTAGTATGGCTGTTGCATTCCACACCACAAACTCAGAGGAAAAAAATAAGCAACAACCCAAAACACTCCTCTGGAACAAACCTGATTTTCCTCTGTACAACCTTTGTCTCTCTCCTCCCCACCCCGGTCCCAGTTTACTTGAAGTAGAGCATCCAAATTATTAGTGTACATGGCTGGGTGAAGTTTTACCAAGTGAGCACTTGTACAGCTGGCACCCAGATCAAGAACTAGAGTATTACTAGAACCCTAGCATCCCCCTTCAGTGGTAACCACTGCCCTGCCCTGTCTTCCTTCACCAAAGATCCGTTTTGCCTTTGAACTCATGATGAAATCATCTAATATGTACTCTTTTGTGTCTTGCCTCTTTTACCCAACACCATATTTTGAAATCAATCTGTATTGTTGTATGTACATTGTGCTTTCATTCTGTATAGTACTTCATTGTATGAATAGACCACAATTTATTTATTCATTCTGTTGTTCATGGACCTTTCGGTTGCTTCCAGTTTGGGGCTGTTACAGATATGCTGTGCAAACATTCTAATACACGTCTTTTGGTGAACAGAGGTGCGATATACTCAGCTTTGGCAGATACTTCCAACAGTTGTCCAGGCAGTAACACAATGACGTGCCCAGCAGCAGTGTATTTCATTGTGGTTTAAGTTTGCATTTCCCTGATGACTAATGAAAATGAGCACTTTTTCACGTTTTGGACAGTCTCTTTTGCAAAGTACTTGTTCAAATGCTCTGCCAATTGTTCTATTGGGTTGTCTCAGTTACTTTTAATTAGATGTTATATATATTTAAAAATGAATACATGGTTAAAACAATAAAAAGTTACAGACCTGTTTCTTGTATCTTTTTCCAGGGATAGTCTATGTACATAAAATATATGTGTCTCCCACTTTCCTTGTTTCCAAAAATACACACACGGTTTTCCACAACAGGCTTAATATACCTGGAAGACCATCCGTATGAGCACATAAAAATTTGCCTCATTCTTTTTAGAATTGCACAGCATAGTGTACGACTTTATGTTTACAACATGCTTTATTTACTATATGGATGGGCACATAGGGCAATGCCAGTTTCTTGCTTCTACAAACATGCTGCTGTAAATACTTAAGTGCAAACATCGTTGTGCACATGGGTGGGTCTATCTGTAGGATAAATTCCTAAGAAGGAAATTGCTGGGTCAGAGGGTATGTACACACATTTTTGTGATTTGTATTGCTATCTTGCTCTGCAAAGAGCTAAACGAATTTACAGTTGCACCAATTTGGTCTGCCTTGCTAACACAGTGTATCAAAAAACTTTATCTTTGCCAATCTCCTAGGTGAGGAATGGGATCTCCTTGTATTTTATATTGGTGTTCATTCCTTTTACTCTGAATGAGACTGAGCATCTTTTCACATATTTGAACAGAGCCTCCACTTACAAAAGGGCTGTTTCCTGGAATGACTGGTTAGCTGGAAACTTAGCTCCTGAGGGGTAAACAGAACTAACCCTGGCGATGGGAATGTTACCACCCCTGCAAAGGCCACCAATGTTAGGAGGTTTTCTGCTCCTAGGGGCTCGATGAAATCAGAGAGAGGCAAAAAAAAAACTCTGTGTTGAGCCACAGTCTTAAAAACAGGAAGAAACCTTAGAAATCTAGTCTAATCTCATATTTTAGAGATTAAAAAAGAAAAAGTTGAGGCTTGGACAGGGGAAATGACTTGCAGAAGACCACATATCAATTCTGTTGAGAAAGAGATGAAAATCCTTGATAAGAGTTGTTTTTGTCAGCTGTTGCCATCCCTAGTAAATATTTTAATGAATGACTTTATTGTACTATTTCCTTAGCAAGGGTGTAATTTTAAAGTTACAATCAACAAGCTATACTAGTAATTAATAACATAGGCAACATAAACAAGTGTGGGGACTCAGGAGAATTATAGGGTGAGGATCCCTCCCGCTTCATTTTTTTGTGAGACTTTGAAAGGGGTCAAAAAGCATATTGGGTGTCTTCAGAGAACAACCAGGCATTGTCTGGCCCACCCTCTTGGGTTATCTGGTTCTATGATATTGTTTGTTTTCTTTAAACTACTTATAATTCTATAGGTTATGGAGAATTGATAGCCATGCAAATGATTCTTCCCCACAGATAGATATCAGACGAATGAATCTTGTATGGTAGAAGTTCAACTGACCTCCCTCCCCCACTGTAGAAGAAGCCAGTCTTGCATCTATTAAGCAAGTTCATCTGAGCATTCCTAATTGCCTATATAAGTATCTCCCTTTTGGATTCATCTCTCTACCATTTGTATCATCTTATATCCTTTCTCATTCATTAGTGAGTTAAACTAAATCTTTTACATGTGTTTATATTTGTGTAAAAGTCATGATTTAACCTCTTTTTTTAAAAAAAATATATTCTTTTAACATTGCTTGTAGCAAGTGTCTCTAGTATAGAGCCACTTACAGTCTTGGTGTTATCAATGATAGCCATCCTTTCTTTCAGCCTATGCGAAAAAAATTGACCACTGATTGGAGGCCTATCTCACTTCTCTCCCTTGTGGAAACAAAGATACCAGGTGATAGGAGGCTCAGTGAGGGGTGACTGAATGCAGAGCACCATTTCGAATGGAGGTACATAATAACTGTGGATGAAAAAAGGGGCCACATACCAAACCTGACAAGCTCAGGGAAGCCAGCATGGCGGGCCCTACAAACCCAGAGGCTGAACGTAACCACGTTGGATTATCTGAACATGAAAATTCCTAACCAAAAGTGAGTCATGGCGAGTAGTCATATCCTAGACCTGTAGCTTCCTTGACAAAGGTCAGTCTTTACCTTATGTGAGCCCGTGTGGTGTCTTTTTGAATCTAAGATAACATAATTTAGAAAGGTCAGCGTAATTTGGCACAACCTCCTCACCAGGGCAGGAGATTGCAGAACCCCTCATTGTTATCTTGTTCCCTGCACACCATCACTAGGTGCTGTAAATGTTAATTATTAACTATCCTGTACCCACCAATGTAAAAGAAGTATGTGTCTCCCTGTTTTACTGTTTATCCAATCCCAGTGCCTCCCCATCCTTTGCTTTCTCCGGCCCCCATAATCTACCACCAATGGATTTCACATAACCTTCCTTACATTTCCTCCTTTGATTCTAATGCATAAAATAAGCTGCGAAACTATCATTCTCTGGAGCATTTTTCTCAGTCCGTTGAGATGTTTGCTTCCTGGCAATTGTCATCAGTTTGGCTCAAATAAGCTCACAAAAATTCTCTATAGGTTTGGACATTTCTTACACTGACAATACACCAACAAAAACTTAAACTTTTTAAAGCTGAAATTTTGACGAATGTAATGCACCCCTTACTTCCAAAAGTTTAGCAGGAATACGTTTCTGGGAGCAAGAACAGTAAATAGTGAGAAAGTGGCTGGCAGACAGTGAGATTCTGATAGGTCCCTTAGCTGTAATTATTGCTTTCATCAATCTTAATTATACTGCTTTTCATCAATTGAGTGAGTACACATCAGTTTAACAACAAACACTAACGGAGCACCTACTTCCCAGCCCTGCGGAAATTGTCCCCAATATTACAGGAAACCCAAGTTAAAAAAACAGCAAGTGTCTACCTTAAAAAAATACATATAGGACTTATCATCTGGGAAAAAAAATCGTTGGGATCCTCTGGTGTCCAGGTCCCTCTGGGGAGACCAGAGGCTCAGCGAACCCCAGGAAATCAGGCCTCCAAACCCCAGTCCATAGGCTTCCCCTTTTCCCCACGTGCTTCTGCCTCGGTCGTTTGCACTCCTGTCGTTTCCATTTCCCCATTTCCTGAGTTCTCATTCCTGCATGCTGCACGGGCCACACCTAAAGTTGGCACATTCTTGAGATGTCGCCGCGGGATCCGTGCACCTGGGTAAGAATTCTCCGCCGAGCGGGACAGCCTGACACCGCGGCTTGGACCTTGCGGCAGCCCGTAGCCCCCGTCCTTTCCCTTCCGGATGTCGGCGTGGAGGGAATCCCTTTACTTTAGCGAGCGGAGCTTGTAAGGAGAAGCTGCCTTTCTCAAGGAACTGTCAGTCCTTCGGAGCCGGCGTGCCTGAGGACTCCTGGCTAACAGGTCCCCCTGTACACCGTCTCGAGCGCCGCTCCGCCGCCAGGAAGGGGAACGGCGGGAACTACGCACGCGCGGCGCCGCTGACCTCGCGGGGTTCACTTCCGGGGGTCGCGCCGCCTGCTCTCCAGGCAGGGCTCTGGGCTCCCGTGTGTGCTTTGCGGCCGCCTCCCTCCGATCGGCCCGGCGGGACCGACCCGAGCGGAGCCATGGGGCCTGCAGCGGGCCGGCCGTGAGCGCGGCCGCAGGATGCGTCCCTGCCTCGGCTGCTGCAGTCGCCGCCGCCGCCGCCACAGGTCAGGAGGAGCCGCAGCGCGGGGCGACCCCGCCCGGGCCTCGGGTGAGTGCGGCCGGCTGGGCTGGGCTGGGCTGAGCCGGGCCGGGCTGGCTGCTCACTCCAAGGTCTCCCGGCCACTCCCAGCCCCCTGCTCCCTGTCCTCCACCCCGCCGCGTATCTGCGACCTTCCCAGATTTCTGGGGGGACACTTCGGTGCCTGCACTTGACTTCCCCCTGCACTCTTGTCACGCCTTAGTTGATCTTTCGGAGTAGGGCCCGAATTGGAGCCCCAGCTTTTTGCCTGACCTTGGGCATGACAGCACCCCGATCCAAGGTTTCTTTTCTCTTAATAACGGGGTTGTTCTTAGGGCTGGAAGAGAGAGTGGCTATAAACCCTTCTGGAAGCTGTAAAGTGTTATTTATAGGCATACAGGACAATGGCCTTTCTCCACATCGTCCGTGGCTTCTTGAATGCTCTTGTTCTTCCCTTCCTTAAGTTTTTTTCCCCCCACTTTTCTCCTGCTTTGTACATCTTTCTCATTATCTTCCCATACCCCTGTCAATGATCTTTGGAGGGGTTTCCTGACAGGGCATCTGGGACAATCAGGTCAGCCTTCAGGGCAATCAATGTCTGCATCTGTTCTTAGTGCAGTCAAGATTTATCTCTTCCGAGGAGTCGTTGCTGCTGAACCTGAGGCTCTTTTCGCTCTTGGATGGACACGATTCACTTAACGAGCAACCAGTTTATGATGTTAGTTCAATTGGAGTGTAAGGACAACTGTTGATGCAGCTGCCTCGCTTCTTTTGCTGTCCAGGTTGTCTACCGTGCTTTCCAAATTGCTGCTACAATGTTACATTTGTAATGGGCTTAGTGGATGTATTTAATCCACATATATTTGTGTATTTTACTCTTACTGCCTTAGATGGTCCGGAAATCTAGCTCAGTTTATTTTTCTTCCTAAACTCTTCACCTCACAGATGATGAATTTAATTTCTTTGATATGGTCTTACAACTTGTACTTACCTAAAGTCACTCTTTAAAGAGTCACCTTGTTACATTTGCTTGTTAGGAAGTTACAACTTGGTTAAAGTGAATGGCTCTTGGGATATTTGACAAATGGAATGGAACACAAGTGCATTTCTTGAACTTTGGAAAACAGAAGGGTTAGATTTATTGAAGTTATTTGATTTATGTGCTTTTGGAATTAGACTAGTAGGTTCACTTTGACTTTTGAACTGAGAGATGGAGGAGAGAACAAGACCATCTGAAAAGGTAATTTTCAAAGGAACTCATAAAGCAACAATTGGAGCTCTTTATGCAAATATCTCATATCAAGGTAAAAAGGGTAAAAATGTATACAAGTGTTTTATTACCAATGACTCAGAGCCTGCCTCGGATTACAGTGAGTGAATTGCAACTTTATAGCCATGCTAATGAATGCAGCATAAAGGCAGAAATCCTCTTCTAGAAAGGGCAAGTCCAGTCATGCGCCACTTAACAATAGGGACATGTTCTGAGGAGTGTGTCGTTAGGCGATTTCGCTGTTGTGTGAACAGTCATATAGTGTCCTAACACAGACCTAGATGGCCTACCCTGCTACACACCTAGGCTTTATGGTATAGCCTATTGCTCCCAGGCTACAAACCTGTACAGCCTGTTACTGTACAAAACAACACAAGATTAAAGCAAGCACAAGAGAACATGATGCCATCAAGAGACAAGGTACACATGAGATGTGTGAGGCTGCTGTCGGCGTAACACAGCATCCTGTTTTACAGCACACTTGTTTTTATAAGTAGAAAGAATATACTCTAACAATAAAAGTATAGCGTAGTAAATACATAAAGCAGTAACACAGTCGTATTATCGAGTATTATGTACAGTACATAATGGTATGTGCTATAGTGTATACGACTGGCAGCGTAGCGTAGTAGGTTTGATTACACCAGCATCACCACAAACATTTGAGTAATGCGTTGCACTATGATGTCACTAGGCAATAGGACTTTCTCAGCTCCATTTGAGTCTTAGGAGACCACCATTGTAGATGCATTCCGTTGCTGACCGAATTGTCGTTATGCCGCACATGACTGTATTAGCGTGAATAGAATGGCCCTCTTCGTGAGAGGGTACTAAAAGGAACGTTAATGTAAGACCAGTCTTAATTCAGTCGAAAGTATAGACATCCTTTTCTATTCTTACTGACACTGTTCCTGCAGGCTTAGACTCTTTGGTGATATAAGTAACACAGTCTTTGTTAATTTGAGGAAACGGGACTAGAAATAAGTTCACCTACGAAGTTAACGTTGGGGATGAACTGAGGAGTAGTTTTCCTGGTGATTCAGAACTTCCCTGCTCCAGTCCATGCCAGATAGCTCTACGAGATCATTTTCTTGAAGAAGCTTTTTGAGGATACATTTCCTTTTCGTGGGGGGAGTGGTAGTGGTGGGGGAACAGTGTGTTTTTCCAGGACCCATCAACTCCAAGTCAAGTAGTTGTTTCAATCTAGTTGTGGAGGGCACAGCTCAGTGGCCCATGTGGGGATCGAACCGGCAGCCTTGGTGTTATGAGCACTATGTTCTAACCAGCTGAGCTAACCGGACGCCCCAAGGATACGTTTCTTAAAAGTGATGTTTTCATTATAAAAGTAATACATTCTTATTTTGTAAAAAATTAAATAGCAGAGCAGAGCATACAGTCTAAATACTCATTCTCACGCCCTCTTCTCCCCAGAGCCAATGTCCAGGGTCAGTGTTAACAACTTGTCATGTGACCCTTCAGCTCTAGCACCTGGGAAGCGTTCAGCTGTGAGAGTTAGTCAACTACAAAGTTTAGAGGGAACAGTCCCCACAAGGCCGCCTTCACTTGTGACACTAGCTGCAAGTTTGGGGGTTTCCCAAACCACCTTATATTTGATTAGTTGTTAGAAGGACTCGCAGAACTCACTGAAGGATGTCATACTCGCAGTTATGGTTTATTACAGGTAAAGGATACAGACTAAAATCAGCCGAGGGAAGAGGCTCGAAGGACAGAGTCCGGGGAAGTATTAGAGGTGGGGCTTCTGTTGTCCTCTCCCCGTGGAGTCAGAACACGTGACTTTCCCAGCATTCATAGGAGACAGTATGCTTGGGGACTTGCCAACCAGGGAAGCTCACCTGAGTCTTGGTGTTTAGTCTTTATTGGGGTTCCATTTCATAGGCGTGATTGATTGATCGCTCACAGGGTTGATCTCGGTTTCCAGGTCAACTGATGGTGTGTGACACAAAGGCCACCCTAAATCCAACTGTTAATCTTTCTGGTTTGGCCAGCTCCCACCCTAAGTCATTGTCAGCCGAGGACAAAGGCCAGACCGCCTTTTGGGCAAGCATCCTTCCATCTCTCATGGTCCCTTCCTTAAAACTACACTTTTCTTTTGCTTTACCATTGACAGATGACTCTCCCGTCTAGATCATGGAGGAGGCAGAGGCTACTGGGAGAGTTCTTTCAACCTTGATTCCTTTCGAGGTAAAATATCTCTGAACAGCCGTCAGTCTTTTTCTTCCCCTTGCCTCTGAGGAAGAGATAACCCCTCTTTCCCTTCCAGACACTAACCAGGCCCGACCCTGCTTAGCTTCCGAGATCAGATGAGCTCGGGCGCGTTCAGGGTGATGTTGCTGTAGACTGTCCCTCCTTCCCAGTGCGAACTTGTATCTGTCCTTCAGTCTGCCTGTTATGGGACATGCATTTAGTCATTGACTCTCACTCGCCCCTTTGATTTTCTTCTCTTTCACTGACTCTTCGCCTCTTCCTACAGCCATGTTCTTGTCTTGCTAATCTTAGCCTTGCTTAGACTTCATTCCACTCTTGAAAAACCTTCAAAAGAACCCCCTTGTCTTATAAAATCCAGACCCTTTATGGGGCCAGGATAATGCCTTATGTTGGTACAGGACCTTCTAGTTTTCAAATACTCATGTTATCTGACCGTGCCTGGTATGTGATGGGTGCTTGGTAAATGTCAGATTAATGAATAATTGGGCCAGGCCGAGAGCGAGAGTCTTCTCATTGGAGGGAACAACAGAAGCAAAAGCACAGAGGGTGAAAGGGCATGGCAAGGGGAGCCCGAATGAACACTGTGTGGGAGAGAGTGATGGCGGCTGAGCCCGGAAAGGTAGGGAGAGCAGACTCAGTGGAGCCTTGAATGCCGTGGTCCCAAGGTTTGGGACCAGGTTGAGTTTGTGGCCCGCGCTGTGATCCTGACGGTAATTCCTGCAGCCACACAGAGGGTGTTTGGAACCTGGCGACCCTCTGAGGTCAGGATCCTGCAGAGCTTCAGGCCAGAGGTGAGGGCGCCTCCACTTGGGTTGTGGGAAAGGTGACAAGGGAAGAATCAGAGCTGTCAGTGGGGAGTCTCATCAGCATATGGGAATGAGGGGGGAGGAGGAGGACTTGTGTGCCTAGAGGTGTCTAATAAATACTGGTTGTGCGAGCAGTGTGTCAACACATGGAAGGAGAGGCCAGCTCTGTGCTAAGCTGGTGGTTTGATTCATTCTGGGAAATGGCGCGGTTCATTGGCTGCACCCCGTAAGCCAGGGGGGCAGTCGGAATAGAGAAGCTTCCAGTTTCTCTTGAGATGGGCCTTTATAGTATCATTTCTTTGTTGAACTGTTTTGAATTCTTAGAGTTCCATGCTTCCCAAATTCCATTTATTCGCTACAGAATGCATTTTCTAAAACCAAGTGCTGTGGGAGGTATTTTAATGGAAGAACACGGGCTTTGGAGTCCAAACACTCCACCCTTGTGAACTTGGGCAAGTTACTTCAGTTCTAAGGCTCAGTGTCCTCATCCCTAAAATGAGCTCATACAAGTAGTGCCTAGCTGTTAGGGTGGTGGCAGGAGTAAATGCAATAATGCATAGAAAACTCCTGACACACAGCCGGTGTTGGGTAATTGGACTTTCCTTTCACCTCTGATATTTTACATTGTCATTAACTTGGCAACTGAGAGCTAAATCTAGTGGCATGTCAGATGTTCATCGTGTTTCGGATGTGGGTGAGTCCAGTGTTTCAAAAATTCACTTCATATTAAACAAGGAAGCCCTGTTTAGGGAAATATGGAAGGAGCCTGGGATTCGTCAGTCTCATTCAGGTTCAGCTGGTCTCTGGGACAGGACATTTAAAGAGCTTTGGAACTCTGGGGCTCCTTTTATTTCTGGATTTAGGATTCTTGAGGGTTTACTAACCAGGTTGGGATGTTTAAAAAGCACTGCTCCATTTGACAGTCGAAGTCAGGCTATGGCTCTGGTACAGGGATAAAAATGAAACCTTTGGTAGGTGTGTGAACATGCCTTTATGAGACTGCCTCATCCAGCTTAGGTGTTCAGGTGACACAGCCGAGATGGAGACTTTCCCAGAAAAACCCCTCCTGGTGTGGGTTTCTCTCTTCCTCCCCTTCTCCCTCTCTTACTTTAACCCTCTCTCCCCTAAACCCTTCCATTTGTCTCCCCTACTCCTTTTCTCCAAGGCTCCCCGACCTTGGGACTCCCCCTGCCCGCCCCCCATGCCAGACCTCCCACTTTGATCCTCATTCATATTCCTTCCATGTTCCTGTGGGCTTAATTTCTACTTTTTCTCGTCTTCCTCAAGCACGCTCCCTGATTCTCTCCCTCATTCACGCAACAAATAGTTGTGGAGCACGTTGTGTGCTAGGGACACACTGGGGATGTTATGAGGAACATTCTGTTGAGGTGAGGGCCGAGAAACAAGACAGCCAGCAAGGGGGAGGATGGTAAGAGGTGAGGTCAGCAGGTTTCAAGATGGGTAGGATTTTATAGGCCACGGGGAAGCCTTTGGCTGGTTTTCTCAACGCAGAGGCAGTCATGGGATTGTTTTAAGTGAGGGACTGACTCCATCTGATTTCTATCGGTAAAAACGCACTCTGGGTGCGGAGCAGGGAATGGATGGCTGGTTCGGTAGTCTGAGGACTGCCCAGGTGAGGGCTCATGGGCCTTGATCTGGCTGTGTGTGGAGGGAGAAGAGAGGGTCAGATTTCGGTCAGTTTTGGAGGGAAAGCCCACAGGATGTGCTGATGGGTTAAATGTGGAGGTGGGGGAAAGAGTTAGATGAAGGGTGAGTCCTGGAAGGATGACCGAACTCATCGTCAAGGATGAGTTTTGACCTTGGCACCTAGATGGTGGTGCTGTGTGTATTGAGATGGGGAACGTGGGGTCATAACAGTTTGGTGGGTGGGTGGGGAGGTAGTGTTTCAGCTTTGACCTTCCTACAGTGGAGCTGTTGAGAAGCCAGTTGGATACACTCAATGATGCACTATTAGCTTAGGAGTTTCCCAGATGCACATATTTCTAACTGCATGGAACTGAGATCCTATGAGACCGTTCAGAGAGCATACAGATAAAGGGGAAAACCCAGGACTGAGCCTGGGCACTCCCAACATTTAGGTGTCTATGGAGGAGGAAGACATAGGAACTGAAGTATGGCTGGTGAGAAAAGAGAAAAACTCAGTGCTGCCCCCACCCCGCCCCCCACTCATGAGGCTGACTTTTCTCTCCTCGTCCCGTGGCTTCTTGGTGTGTTTCCATCATTTTGATCTGCAGTGTCTGAGTGCTATTTTGGAGTGACTAAGTATTTTAGTGTAAAGGATCTTTCTAGAAAGGTTAAATAAGTTTACCGTTCACATTAAGGATAATGCCAGTATATTATTGAAACTTGGCTTTAGTTAGTTTAATATTCTGTTGGGTTTTGTTTTTTTTTTTCCCTTAAAGGTTATATTCTGTTCTTAGATTCAGTAATTTGAGAAGAAAATAGTGGTTTCACATGGCATCCATTACTGGTCGGGTTTGAAAGCACCAACTAAATCTTTCATGATTGTACACTGATGGAAGGAACGTTTAAGAACATAATTGCAGTAAATACACTGTGGTAGCTTATCTGAATGCTCCATTCGTTTCCCAAGGTCAGTGAGAACCCTGGCTCGCTCTTTAGCATAAGCTACCCTAGCTCAGGCCCCATCCTGGTTCACTTATCATTCAGATTGTCCACATACCTGGGACGGAAGTACTTGACATTCTCCCTCCACTCCCCTCCTGGGTAGCAACCTATTTGCATGGCCACGTATGAGGTCTTATTCTTATGCTGAATGGTACCTCTGAATTCTTAAAGTTCCCCCGGCTGACCCAGCCTCAGGCCACCCTGGCCACCTTGTCGCCTCCTCCAGACCTGATTCTCAGTCCCACCGGGACCTCCAGCTCCCTGATGTTGTCTCTTACCTGGCTTATCGGGGCCTCCACCCTTCATCTTAACACTGGTGAATCATTTCAGCCCAAGTCTCGCCTTTGACACCCTGGTTTTCTATCTTCACCTTCGCTAGTCTCCAGCCCCGAGTAAGCATTTGTAGTGCTGGGGCTGGCGATTGCATCACTTGATTAGAAACTGGAGGTTGCCATCCCTGTCTGCGCCCAGTGTTGTGCCCAGTTAGTTGTGTTTCGGTCCTTTTCTTGGCTGCCCCCTCCCTGCCACAGCTCCCTTTTTCTAGTCTTAGGGGCTGTTCAGCTTTCCTGCGCGTGGCCACCCACAGCCCAGCCCCTTGCTCTCTGCTGAGAAAACAGTGCTATGGAGCGTGAGCCTCTTGAGCGCGGTCCTCCTCCGTAACCACGCGCCTCCCCTTCCTCGAGTCTAGGGGAGAAGGCTCATTCTGCTCTTGCCGTCATTTCCCCTGAGCCTGTAAACTTGGATCTTCATTCTTTCAAAACAGAAAAAAGTGAGCCTGTATTGCTTTTGCAGGAAAAGTCCAAATAAGTACCAAATTAAAAAGAAACGACAGCAAGCATGGCAGGCCCTCTTAGTTTCCGTTCTCTTAGCCTGATAGTCCAGTTGGCTTACCTAGGCAGGCATTCTTCACTCTGTTTACAGTCGGTCGCTTTTGGGGCTGTCCTAGGCTTTTTAAAAGCGTGACATGGTCAGACCCAGATGCAACATGGTGGGGTCTCAGGGACTAACTGTGACTTTGGGTGGGTATTTAAACCCTGTGGGTCCAAGGTGGCTCATCTCTAAAATGGGGAGACCAAGTACTTCTTAAGATAATTATCTCAATTTAAGTGAGATAATACGAGAGGGTAAATTAATTTTTTTTTCCTTTTAGCTACATATGTCCTTCACTTAACTGCATATAAAAAATTTTGCTGCTTTCATTTTCTCACCACCTGGTCGGCAAGCGCTTGGCAATTTACTGAAACTGAATCTGCCTGGCCTCCCCTGGCTCCCTGTTTGGTGTGTTGACTGCTCCCACCTTCCTTCCTGCCTGTGTTCCCCGGGGTTCCAGCCTCACACTTTTGTGGCTTTTTGGGTGACCACATCCGCTCCCATTCATCGGTTTCCTCTGTGCTGGGGTCGCATTCCATAGGCCTAGGCAGGGGGCTGGAGGAGGTCAGAGACTAATTGTCTGCTAGTTGATTCTGCAGACCCCTCCAATTCATTGAGCCCCAGTCTTGGCGCTCTCTCCTTGATCCTGCAGCTTGCACGTTCCATGAGAGTCAGCTGGGGCAGTCATGCCCCTCAGCCCCTTTTACTTGCCTTGTACTCTGCCTTGTCTGCTCCATCTTGTTGGTCACTGCTATGCTCTTGCTCTGACTATCTCTCAGCCAACCCACTTCAGGCCCCTGCTCCGCCCTCGGCCTTGGCCTGAATCATTTCTGCTTTGGGTCACAGCAGCAGCCTCCTGGTTGCCTGTCTTTCTCCTTCCATCCTAGTCGCACTGAGGACTGGGCATTTAAATGTATATATGCAAATCTGCGTCACTGATCCACAATGTGTTAAAAACATCTATCTGTTTACCTAAGTTCTGGTGCTTCCCATTCTGCAGAATTCAGGCTCCTTATCTTTGCATTCAGAGTGCTTTGGTTTTGACCCCAGTCTGCCCTTGGATCCCATTCCCCCTCTCTCTCCCACCCTCCTTTGCCCTGAGTGGGGGCCCTTAGGCGCACTGCATTCCCCTTCCTGGGTATGTACCTTCTCGCACTGTTCTCTCCTTCTGTCCGTATCTTATTCATCAGGCCCCCACCATGCTTTCTCCTTTACTGATGCCCTGGTTCCTCCAGACAGAATTGGCTGTTGTCACCTCTGTCTCTCTCTCCCATCACACTCTGCTCCTAATTTGGGGATAACACTTAGCACAGTATTTACAAGGCTGATTCCCACCTCTGCTGGTTTGTGAGCCCCTGTGGGCAGAAGCTCCTGTCTGTGGTTGCTGTAGAGTGTGGTGCCTGCAGAGCCCCTGCACCCCATGTAACTGGATCTCTAATGGCTGGTGTTTGCTGCCTATTCTGCTTCTGTGCCTCCTGCAGAGGCTTGCTTATTCCTGTGTTTTATAGGTCATCAGTGGGTGTATGAAGAGTAAAACAATGAGTTTAAACAGCGTTTGAATATATAAACACCAATACAAGACTCTAGGGTAGACTTTCTTTTTTGTTGCCATAGTGAAATAATTGTATCTTGATTCTTTTTCGCAGTAACTGATCACCAAAGAATACAGATATCTTCTGTTTACTTGTTTCAGTGTGTTTATGAGAAATATACTTTCTGTTTGTTTATAGCCAAGGAAAAAGGTGAGGGGAAGAGATTAAGAAACTGAACCGAAGATACAGTTAAAAGCACAAAGAGACAGTTAAAAGCAGGATCTTGGTTCCTGAATGCAGTTCTAGGAAGAAAGCTGTTTGGGCAGCCCACCCTTTCACGCCTGCTTCAAGGACCTGTGCTGGTTTTTTTTTTTGAGGCATAGTTGATATACAACAAAATTAACAGTTTCAAGTTATGTTGTTCATTGTTTTGGATCTTTTCTTAACAGCTCACTGAATTTTGTTTTGACAAATGCATATGCCCGTGTAGCTTACCTCCCTGTCTGGATATGGGGCATTTCCATCAACTCAGAAAGTTACCCAGGGGTCTTCTCACTCATTCCCCCTTGTGCTCAAACCCCTGTTCTGTTTCTTTCAAAATAAATTAGTTTTTCCTGGTTTAGTGTGCCATATAGATGCACTTGTACTGTGCATCTCCTGTGTCTGGTTTCCTTCTCGTTGCAATTTATCTGTGTCGTTGCATGTATCGGTAATTTTTTTGCTGAGAAGTTTTCATTGTATGAATGTACCATAGTTTGTTCATTTATCTCCTGGGGATGGCTATTTGGGTTGTTTCTGGAATATTATGAATAAAGCTGCTGTGAACAGTTTTGTACATGAGTTGTGTTCATGTTCATTTATTCTTGCGTAAATACCTAGAAGTGGAACTGCATAGGGTAGGTGTTTGTTTAACTTTGAGAAAGTGCCAGACCGCTTTCTGAAGTGGTTGCTGTGTTGGTTACGTTTTTAAATTTATGAAAGTAATTGCAATTGGGTCTCATTGTAGAGAGTCCGCTGTAGACCTGGTGCCTGTGATTGGCAGTCTTGTATTTTGCAAAGCCAGGTTTATTTTAAAACATGGGTAACAAACTCATTTGAAAATATTCAAAATCAATGTGAATAAAATGTTGAAAATATTAAGGCATAATTAGGTACTATTAGTTCAGAATATTATTTGGCATTTAAAGTTGTTGGCTATCACATAGATATTTGAATAAAGTTGCTATATATAAATACCATATTTAAAATGTCATCGCCATTTGTTTAAACCGCTTAACACTCATGGCTACATTTGCTATTATCAAGTTCGGAAGGGCCTCAGAGCTGGAAGTACGTTAGGGTGGTGGTGTTGAGGGTGGGGTGGGAGGTTGTCCAGGTGAGTGCGGAGGAGACTTGCAGCGGCTGGGCCCGCAGGGGAGGCTGACAGCAGAGCCTGGCCCCGGTGGAGGGGCGGCAGACATGCACCAGGAAGCACTGGGCAGCCCCTGGGTTAACTGGGAGGAGCACCAGGATCTGTTTGGTGGCAGAGACCAGGGAAACATGCCCTCCATGCCTCTTGATCCCCCCACCCCCCTATCCCTTCACCTTCTTCCACGCCAGCGTTCTGGTGTTCAACTCAGGGGTCCTGGTTTCAGAAAACAGACACTATATTTTAATTGGATTGTTTCCAATTAAAAAATGGACAGGGGACCTGAACAGACACTTCTCCCGAGAAGACATACAAACAGCCAACAGACATATGAAAAGATGCCCAACTTCACTAGCTATCAGGAAAATGCAAAGCAAAACCACAATGAGCTCTCACCTCACCCTTGTTAGAATGGCTCTTATCAACAAGACAGATCACAAGTGTTGGAGAGGCTGTGGAGAAAAAGGAACCCTCATACCCTGCTGATGGGCATGTAAATTGATGCAGCCACTATGGAGGTTCCTCAAAAAGTTAAGAATAGAATTACCATACAACCCAGTAACCCCTCTTCTGGTAAAAATTTGAAAGCACTTATTTGTAAAGATATATGTACCCCTCTGTTTGTTGAAGCAGCATTCACAGTAATCAAGACATGGGAACAACCTCGGTGTCCTCCAACAGATGACTTGATAAAGATGTGGGGCATAGAGGCAGTGGAATGTTACTCGGCCATAAAAACGATGAAAGTGCCATTTGCGACAACATGGATGGATCTTGAGAAAATCATGTTCTAGGGTGAAATAGGTCAGAGGAGGACAAGAACCATGTGATTTCACTCATTGTGGGATATCAAACAAAGCAAGAAACAAACTCAGACACACACAACAGTATAGTGATTACCAGAGGAAGGTGGTTGAGGGGACGACGAGGAGGATAAAGGGGGTCAAATATATGGTGATGGAAGGAGATCAGACTTTGGGTGGTGAGCACACAGTGCAACTTACAGATGATGTATTACAGAATTGTACACCTGATATTTATATAATGTTATTAACCAATGTTACCCCAATAAATTTTAAAAAGGAAACCATAAAACAAAACAAAAACAGACACCAACTGAGGGTTTGCTTAAGCAGAAAAATAATATATTGGAAGGATATTGGATAAAAGCAGACTGGACAGGCTGTAAGGCGGGTGGCCAGGCAGCAGAGGAAGCCACGCTGTGTGGGAAGGATGCTTGTTCGGCGACGGCCTCTGCCAGACCTCCTGTTGTTTGGAAGATGGACCCTCCTGGACTGGCCCTGTAGTTTTATTTTATTTTCTCTCCTAAGGTCTTTCTCTTTGCCCTTTAGTTCTCGTTTCTGGGAGATTTCCCCACCCTCGGGTCCATTCCTATTTTTAAGATTTCAAAATTCTCCCATCATAATTTCATTTTTCAGTAACTAGGAAGTCCTCATCATGTTCCTCTTTTTGTTTCACAGATACAATTTCTTATTGTTTCTTACGTTTTCTTCTCTGTGCATTGTGCCCGCTCTTAACTCCTTTCCTCCTGTTTCTTTTTTGGGCTCTTGTCTTTCACGAGACCTGTTTTGGGCGTTCTTCAAAACACCTGACTGTTGGCTGTTCATTCATACGTCAGAATGAGATGTGCCAAGCGCTTGGAGCCTGTGTGTCCATGGTAGGATGCCCTTTGGTGGCCCTCACGGTAGGAAAATGTGGCAGTGAATCTGACCTCTCTGTTGGGGTTCCCCTGCGTCTTGGTATCTTTAGGCCTTTTCTGCCAGGCTAAAAGAGTGCTTCTCTAGAGCTTGTGTGGGAGCTGCGACCTGGGAGCTCCTTTTTTCAGTAGGTGGCCCTGACTGAGCTTCCGCCGTGTTCCTTTCCTGGACTTGCCCCCTCCATCCAGCACCTGTCACCTCTTGGTCCCTCTCCCTCTTTTCTCTGATTCCTTTGTTGTGGCTCGTAAAACAGTTGTTGACAATTGAAATGCAGGCTGGTCAGATTTGGTCTGGATTTTCCCCAGAGGTCTTTCTCGAGAGATTTTGACTTAAAGATTTATAGGTAACACCGTGGCTAAAATAGCAGGAGGGTAAAATGGACAGACTTAAAATAAATGACTTGATTTTCAGGATCGTCAATTTACTAGTAATGAAAACTTAGGGGAGTAATGATTCCTAGTTAGGGGCAGCTCTCAAAAAAAAAAAAAGGGTAGTTCTCAATAACTGAACTTTATGTGTGGAATGTTATCCTGGTTATATATGCTCCAAAAATTAATCATACCCTAAGAAATTACATGCTTTTCTATTATAAAATTAGTAACTTTCCTAATCAAATTTTATTGTCTTTCAGATCCTATCACATAGGACAGTATGCACTTTAAGATCCTGAAGAAAAGGCGCAAAATGTTCAAGTAATGTTTCGAAATAATTTGTAAGGTAAGAAGAGTGAGGTTCTTTGTGTAGGTGTATAATCAGTCACTCTTTCCTTTCTGACAGCTGACACTAATGGATACTTTTTTTTTTTTTAAATTGGGGAACAGTGTTTTTTCTAGGACCCATCAGCTCCAAGTCAAGTAGTTCTTTCAATCTAGTTGTGGAGGGTGCAGTTCAGTGGCCCATTTGGGGATCGAACCGGCAACCTTGGTGTTACGAGCACTGCGCTCTAACCACCTGAGCTAACCAGCCACCGCATAATGGTTTACTATTGAAAAGGCAATATGGACAGTACCAAAGGTCAGCGGCGACAAGGAAATCTTTCTCTCCACCTTTTGTCATTAGCTTCCTTCCTGCCTATCTTACAAGGGGTGGGGAGAGTCCAGGCAGTGAACTGACAAGATCTTAGCAAGTTGTACAAGATGAGGTGAATGCTCAAGTGTCAATGTAATGGCAGGTTTCTGCCTGTGTGGTTGGTTGGTTGGTCATCCCCTTAAATAATGGAGATCTGCAGTGCAGCTTTTAGTGTTCTGAGAAGCGGGGCTTTATTTCACATAAGGACAAACAGCTGAGGTACAGGAGTGCAGACAAAAGTCCCATTAAATCAGCCATTGAAGTCGGAAAATGATGATGTGACATTTGCCTGACCAACGGTCAATACGTAGCACTTTCAGGTTTCTCCCAGAAATGATCTTCAGGGGTATTAAATCGATAGCGATTTGGGTATTCAGCGTAGAGTAAGACTGCAGCCCTGCCCTACCGAGTGTGTGCTTTTTAGTCCTGCTCCACAAATTGCCGTGCCACTGCTCTCATGTTCCCAGGATTTTTATATCAGTACAAAGTAAAGGAATTGTTTCCTCATTTCCTCCCCTCCCTTCCTGTTGCATTACTAAAATGTAAATACAGTGACTCAGCGGAACGCTCGTCCCGTTTATGACCGATAACCGAGTGCGTCCAGCCTCACCTTGCCGTGTCCGCTGATTGCTTTCTAAAAGATAAAGTGACTTCTGGGCGTCAGGTGGTTTTCCCTTTGTCTTCTAGTGGACTTCACGAATGTGGCTCTAAAGCCCACGAGCCTTGAGCACCAGCATCATATGCGCTCCTGGGAATTCCTCCTGTGCCAGTGTTTTGGTATCTTTGTGGTTGCTCTTCCTGCACAAACAGACCTGCTGTCTGCACCCCACGCAGAGGCCTGCATGCCGCCACAGGGCTGCGCCCTGCGCTGTCTGGCAGCTCTCTCCACTCCCTTAACCGGAGGTTATTTGTGCCTTCAGACAGCATTCAGGGGCCTGATTTCTGGCTAGAACTCAGACTGCGCGAATGTTGTGCTCTGACAAGAGGCTAGTCTGTCTCTGGACATGTGGCCGTGCAGCTTATTATCTTACTGCCCAGCAAGCAGGCACCTGTTTCTCATAGAAAGCATCCTCCTTGAGGAGTCAGCATAAAGCAAAGGCATTCCGGTCGGAGGAATTTTTCAGCTGAAGGTCTTGACCTGTGTGCAGTTATGATTCATGAAGAAACGCTTATGGGGCTGGCCGAGTGGCTCAGTTGGTTAAGAGCGCGAGCTCTGAGCAATAGGGTTGCCAGTTTGATTCACACATGGGCCAGTGAGCTGCACCTGAGCTGAGCTGCCACTGAGCTGGTAAGAGTGTGTGCTCTTAACAGCAAGGTTGCC